TGGGAATGGATTCGGATTTCTGAAGCCTAGATTTTTCAGACTTTTCTTTTAATGTGCCACATAAACTTATGATATTGTAAAAACTATAATATTCCTGGGACTGCAATTTTCGAAGAAGGATATGAGCTTCCTTGAAATGAATTATGCGTGTTTTTCACGGGAATGAAGATAAAAGGATGTTGAAATTTGTTATGTGTTCAAGTTTAAGCCTACCAATTCGCATCTACTTTAGCAAATGGCAAAATATACACGATCTTATCGAAATATTTTTTATTAAAAAATAAAATTACTATAAAAATATAAGAAGATAAAGGTCTCTTCTGTTATATGGACATCATGACGGACATGAAGTCTTCTAAATAGAGAAATACGTCCCTTTGTTTAGTTATTTCAATGAAATAAAAACTGAAATAGAATAACACATTTTAATAAATATTTGTTAAAGTTTAATAATTATTTATTCTGAAAACAGAAATATTAATTTAAGGGACAGGAGTAATAAATTAATTTTAATAAAAGTGGCTAACAGCGGAAAATGCAGGCTTAGATCTGCTCGAAAAGGTATTTGTAACCAGTAATTTTATCTTACATGTTGTCTTTGTATGTTATTTATTTTTTTACTTTTATTTGTTTATTTATATTTATTTTATTTTCATTTATCTATTTACTTTTATTCAATTTATTTATTTATCATTTATCTATTTACTTATTTATTCAATTTATTTATTTATCATCTGATTACAAAAGTAATAGTTACACGCAGGAAGTGTGAAATTGGTGCATGTATTTTTCTACAGAAAATTATTTGGCATCTGTTGACTTATAGCAAAAATATCTGAAAAAATAATTTCTTGTTTAACTGCCTTCCGTACTCTGGTTTAATTATACGAAAACGATTTTCAGGGGATTTCTTTTGTTCCTTTTAAAGCTTAAATATAAATACATCAGGGTTCTTTTACCAAATGTCGCAAACAAAAACTATACATAGATCTTTGCATTACTTTTAGCCTTATATATAGCCGTACATATAGTTAGTTACATATTAAAACGTTTAAATTTTTCCAAAGAAGTTGCAGAAATACTTTCCCAGTAAAAGATACAAAACAGGAAACTGATTAGTCTTAAAATGTTTTATTTTATAATAATTTTCATCATGCTATTTCAATACAGATCTTGCCTTTTCTATTATTTCCCTTTTCATTTAATATTATGCCCTTACCTATAGAGGTCTCAATAGTGGTCAGGGGGTTAAAACACTTGAACAGTGATAATTCGACTTAAGAACAAAAATCCCGGCGAATGGGCTGTCCGTATGGGTATTTTCGTCGTTTTCATCGTATATAAAGCAATACTAACCACTTCCTCTTTGGAAGTTCTCCGAAATATCTCTTCCCTTAGGCGATAGATTATTATTAGGTTAGGTATGCTGTGCCGTCACCTAAACTGATAATGGCCAAGCTAACCTAAGCTAAACAAACATGGAGGTAGGAAGTAAGATGGAGTTGCCCTAAACAAGTTTCTCTCGTACCCTGCTCTGAAGCACCGGCGATCCCTACGTGGTGACCAAAACATTGGGTCATTTACCATTGAGTTCAATGGGTTTTGACGCGTTCGGATGTAAATATTTTGTAATTACGTCGTAAATATTCATATAAATGTATATATTTTCTTTTTCTACAACACTTCAGAGTCCTAAGTATATGAAAACAACATACTTTTAAACAACATTTCATTCTGAACGGAATCAAATGCTATACTTTTCACAGGACAGTTTTCTCAGAATGGTATAATTTGAATGAAATATTTTCACAAGTTTTCGTTAATTACATTAGAAAAAAAAAATTAAGGTAATTCGATTTTATTCGGTTAAGGTACAAAATTAAGATCAAAGTTTATTGTATTATTAATATTAAAATTATGCATTATTTCTTTTCTATTTATAGAGCTTCTTCCTAAAATACTTTCTTAAACATGACATTATTTTTTGGCTTCTGAGGCATCTTTTAAATCGAAAAATGTAAGTCAATTTATAATTAATGCTCTATTCAGTTCATTTTAAATTAGAGAATTATTAGGAATTAGCGAAATACTTTAAATAGTACTTGATTTTCTCTGAACATTTCTGAAAGGGAATAAAATAAGTTTTTTTTTAATTTTTTTAAAGTATAATTTAAAACTTGTAACTGAGTTATTATAAAATGTAGGGGGAATAATTCTTTTAATTATACTTATCAGATTTTTTTTTACCCTTCATTTCAACAGTACATATTCCAAACATCTTTATTACTTTCTTAAGTGCGCATCTCATAGCATTTGCTTTACCTTTTAACAGAATGCTTTCCAATACGAACAATTCTTGCTTAAATAGTTTTATAACGTATTTGTCAACAGGATTTCAGTTTATGTTTACAATTCAATATTAAGGTTATTATATATTTATATAACATTTATAATCATTATAAATTAGATACATTTACTAATTAGATTTCTTCACAGTACTTTCACAGTTGTTTATAAGTGAATAAATTCTTCATTTCAAATACATTTATAAATAATTTAATGAATATTTATGTATTTTGTCAAAGGCAGATACATGCTTTTTGCAATAATATGCAACAATAATATAAGGATGTGAAAAAAAAAATTGTTTTATTTAAAACATTTTGGCGTTTGGAAAATAAAATAAAAGTAGCGAATACTCTATCAAGGGTATCGAAAGACGTATACAATTTTAAATGTACCGTAAGGTATTTTTCATTCTTTAAGCATAACATTTTTCTTAAAATCTATATTTTTGTAGTTCAACAGCTTAGAATTTTATAAAACAAATTCATAATCAAAATCGCGCTGTTGTTAGTTATCGAAAAATAACCAATGTGTGAATTTTGCGTAAATGTCACTAAACTATACAAATTGCTACTATCCATCACACTATGAATGTTTCTTTCATGCGAAAGTGTCCCTTTTTTGATTTGTATGGAACTGTCGTGTGTCGAAATACTATCAGAAGCGTGTCAAGCGAGCTTCTGAATGTAAACAAAGAACACCCCATCTGGTGACCCAAGCTTCAAAGTAGTGCTTCACTTCTAGTACTGACTGGCCCCTTCTTCCTTTCCTACCTCCATGTAAACAAACGCTGTCAGAAAGACAGGTTTTGGTTTCCTTAATTATGGCAAAGCACACCAGCGTTATCTGCCTAAAGGGAGGGATACCTTTGCGGAAGACGTTTTCTAAGAAACTGCCTCGTATGCACATTACACCCAGGAAAAATGCTCATGCAGCCAGCCCGTCCTCCTTTAATCGAATCCAGGTCAAAACTACCAGTGTTCAGCGGCTTTACCTCTCGGCTGCTGGTGGTCCAGTCAGAAAGTTAGAAAAGTGATTTAAAAAAGTGAATTTCGTCTTCTTAATGTTTTTAAAACTATTATCAGCCATAAAGACTGAAATATTTTCTTATATTCAATTTTTAAGCCTTTTTTATTTATAACAAATAAATACATCTAAAATACGTTTCACTTTATATAGTTCTTTTATGCATTTATTTAAGCTTTTTAAGAAGTTCGTTGACTATTCTTTGTAGTAAAAAAATACACCGTTATTCATATTAAAACAGAAGGCGCTTCTGTTAATGTCTTAATACCTCAATGTTATTCCCCCCCCCCAGAAGGTATAAATTAAATACAGTCGGTATTTCTGCATGCAACTGAACAGAAATAGATGAGTTTGTAACCTAGCAAACTTTCTCGCTTATCTAAAGGAAAAGATTTATATTTGCGAAAATAATTGAAACCTATGAAAAATTGGTAAATGTATCTCTCTGAAATCGTATGTCTAAATATATGAAAAGTTGATAATATTATCTCTCTAAAATCTTATTTTTGTATAAATATATCAAAAATTTATTTTAATTGGAATTTCCAATGGCAATGTAAGATAACTCCGCAACTAACTTAAAAATCTGTTTCAGTATGAGAAAAAAATGAGTTCAGTTATCACTCAGACAATTTTTCGAGACGCGGTGTTCATATATCAGACTTAAGGACTTAAACACAAAAACCATTTTTATCTCATCACAAATCCTATAAACTTATTAATACCTTTTGTATTACATATGAAATTTGTTACCAATATCCTTTAGCGCATCACTTCATTTTAGATTTGCTACGAAAATTGTTCTCCCCCCCCCGTTGACTATTTCTTTATTTTGCTTATATACCTCGCATCAAATAACATGTAACAAGTTACTTGAAACATATGATAATTGTTTTTTATGTTTAATGGAAGCGTCGAACATAACTATGCTATGTTTGTAAAGACACGGACTTATTGTTCTCATTAAGTTTCTAGTGTTTTAGTTCCGAGTTAGTAATCTTTTAATTCTTACAACGTTTCCTATGTTTTAAAACAGTGTTATATCTTTGGCGATTTTATATAACAGAGGTGTGTAATACTTCTAAGAGTATATAATGTTTGAAATCATAAATATGATACACATTTAAAAGTCTTTAAAAACCTAAAGCATGGTTTTATTTTTACGTATAAAAGTGCTACTAGGTTACCTAAAAAAATTTGTATTTTTTATGCAATGTATGAATCTATCATGATAAAAATTATTTTTATTTCGAAATTTAAAAAAAAAAAAAAAAAAAAAAAAAAAAAAAAAAAAAAAAGAGTTTTGTTTCTTTATTTATTGTGTATTTATTTGTTTATATACTTAATACCTTTCTATTTTGCATGATCCAAAACAGTGTTGTAAACTTTTAGTGGTCAAGCACCGAAGGTCTTCAATTTATCTTTACACGTGGAAACTATAATTTAGAGACTTCAAATTTTTCAACTTTTTTTTCGAAAAGTGCAGAAGAATATGAATTTCACCCAGTTTTGACTGTTAGAATGGAGGGGAATAAAACCGACCGGGTAACAGTAAACTGGGTCAGTAGGTCTAACAAACGTGCTTCAAAGCTCTAGAAGGTAAAATTGTACCAACAAACCAAACTCACCTTCGCTTCAGTATCAGCAGACGACAAATGTGAACACAGGAGGGTCGCCGCGACCGTTATTGTCCATATCCGCGTCACGATCCTCGGAATTCGGTGCAGCCCCGACACGCTGATCATCCTTCGGGAGCCGCCCTGTGAGGCTCCGGCGAGGGCCTACGGGGCGGCCGCCATAACTGAGAACGTCCACGCTTGGGCAATGTTCTCGCGACGATTTGTAGTAGGGGCTCTTCGTACGAACCTCGTGAGTTTGTTGAATGTGTGTTGTTTCTCTCACTCTGTGGGTCGTCGTCTGCGTGAGTGAGGAAAGAAGGGAGGAGGCGAAAGTGCTTGTTGTGGATTGGTTGTAAATTGGTCGAGAACAGAGGGGAAGGTGGGAAGTTTCCTCAACCCGTCGTAGCGCGCAACAACAACGTCTTTTTTTTTTCCCTTCCTTTTTCTTTTTCTTCCCACTTTTCCCCTTCCTTCTTCTTTTCTTCACACTTCGTTTGGGGGGGGCCATTTTTTGAGGTTTAGCCAAACCGCGGCCTTGTACGTAAGTTTTTCTACCCAGTTCTAATACTCCTATCTTAATGTTCATAACAAGATTCTTTCAAGTAATAGTTCTTTACGTAATTACGATAATTATTTACGGTTTCACAAATTTCCTTTCGCCAAATTAAAATATAATTTATTTTTACTCCGATTCTCATTTAAAGAATTGTATAATGAGAACTTTAGTTCTCTCATTACGGCTTTGTTTCTAAATTAAGTACTAACAAGGCCTTGCTGTCTGGCAGTCAGGAATAATAACTAAAAGTAAATACTAAGGTAATAAAATACAGAAGCTTTGGAGATTTAAATCAAAATGAAAAACAAGAAAAGAAAGGAAAGACACTATAAAGAACAATATCGATAACAAAAAAGAAGAACAAATATATCTGAATATTATTTGGTTTCCTTCAATTTAATCACAGCATGCTTTTCTGTTTAAATAAAATAAATAAATAAATAAATCCTTTACATCTATTGAAGAATTAAAGGTAGCCCTGAGTTTTAGATTAGAATATAAAATTCGACAATAAATTATTATATGAAGTGAGTATATAATATATTATATAAATTATTTCCTAAACCGTATTGATTAATTGATTATATATCGCAGTAATAATAACTTGTATTCGCACTAATGGATTTAAGTTCATACAACATTATATATATATATATATATATATATATATATGTCTTTATTTAAAATATTTGCTAAAGGCAAATTAAAGGAATTATTTTAATTAAGCTTTATATTACTTATTTAATAAGTAATGAATAATTTATAATATAATTATTTATTTAATATGCTTAATATTCTTCCTGTAATAATAAATATTTTAATAAGTTTAATATTCATTATTTAATAAGAAAAATTTTAATAAATTTCATATTGTTTAGTTAAACTAGTAAAATAATTAATTTATATTTAGAACAGTTGATTAAAATTTTATCTAAATCTGGATTTTTCTTACTGAAGCATCGTAATTTCCCCCCTCCTCATCTCTTTAAATTTAGAGACATTTTTTTATGCTTCATTTGCAAAACAGGCGAGTCAAATCAACCCTCTATTATTACTTCAGGACTAATAATATCAGAATCCTACGCAACAAAATTGATCTGTTTACAACTAGGCAATTTCTCTGATAATACATAGCCAACAATATTAATATTGTGGAATCAAATACAAAGGAAAGAGATAATGTAGTCTGGGTGTAACCTGTGTACCACCACAGGGTGGCAGAAATTAGAAGCGCAAAATTTTTAGGGATTCGAAAATTATCGCGAGAGAGAATTTGAGAGGCTTTGCATTTGCACTGTGTAGCAAAAAGCTTAGCGGAGGCCTTGCCGGAGTTGAACTTAACAAGGGGTCCTTAACACTTACAACCATTTTTGACGTCGTCTTGTCTATGCACTAAAACGAAATTATACGGAATATGGAAACCATACAAAAACAGTGTGTATTTTGAAAAGATGGCTGAAATCATTCATTGCTTATCAACTTATCTAATCATTATCTGTTAGCAATGCAAAATAAAATAGTCGTAAATTGAATCGACGCAAAATGAGCCATATCTGTACATACATTATTTGCAAAAAGTAAATTTTATGAGTTTACTTCATTTTAATTTTTCCTCCATAAATCAGCATCAGAAAAATTTCATAACTAACTGTATCAACCACTATGTCTTCCATTTTTATATATTTCTTTCACGTGATATACAAAATGTTCTTGTAAATAACAAATAAATTCTGCACAGCAATATTCATTGCTCTCAGGAGTTAAAACATGGCTGAATTGAATTATTTTATTTCCCGTCGATAGCTATATATCACAATAAAATAACACCACTCACACTCAAACTTTCAATACATCTATTTTCCATAGCGACACTCTGGCACTAGGTTTCTTCCTTACAGCGTAACATATGAATCGCAACGGCGTAACATATGAATGTACAACAAAAATCAACAGAATATATTTCAGCGCTAATTCTGGTGGCACATGCGCTATTAGCCAAGATTCTCCTCTGTCATAAAGTATTTCTCAGCTAATACAAAACACTTCCGGCGTTGAAATTAACAATTTCAAAACTATTATTACAATAAATATAAATATAAAGACACTACAATAAAATACTTCAGAATAACAAATCACAATATTGAAGAATATACAATCAAATCATTCCAACAAATACCAGTTTATAATAGAAATAAGCAATCATTCTACAGGAAGTATACATATATCTCGAACATTTCGTTTTAGCAAATGTTGATTAGGCAATCTTACAGTTACTACTCTCATTTGTTATCCCTACCAAGAAAACCCTCAGCTATTCTCCCCACTAACCATTTAGTTGAAGGCAAATTTTCGTCTTTTATTAATACAAGAGTTCCCAACTGAACGTCATACTTTAAAAATTTCCACTTGTGACGTTCTTGTAAACTATTAAGATAATCACGTTTCCATAATTTCCAAACTTTTTGTGTATACTTAGTGATTCTTTGCCATTTAGAAAGTCTGTTTTCATTTATGTTGGAGAAATCTGGCTCAACAAGAGTTGTGATAAGTCTACCAACCAAAAAGTGACCTGGGGGTCAAAGTTTCAAAATTATTGTAATCAGCTGAAATTGGAGTAAGAGGTCTTGAGTTCAATACTCCTTCAATTTCTGTTAAAACAGTTAAAAATTCTCCTAAAGTTAAGCACTGACTACCAATAACTCTCTTCAAATGACTCTTAAATGATTTAACCCCTGCCTCCCAAATTCCGCCGAAATTTGGCGACTTTGGAGGAATGAATTTCCGCTCTATACCTTCAGTGGTATAAAACCTCGCTATATTCTTATCTGGACACTCAACCAATTTTTGCAATTTTTTGAGTTCTACACTAGTTTTGTTGAGGTTTACACACTTATCTCTTTTTAATTGATTTATTTCTTCTCGAAACTCACTTTTTTGGGCCTCTAATAAAATGTACACCTCAACATCCTTTATTTCTTCTAAAGTAAGTACTCCATACCTTATTACCTGGGAGTTCTTAAGATTATGGATAAACCTGAAAAGGGAACTTACAATACGAATAAGTTTAGTATAATTAGAAGACAAATTAAGAATATCATTAAGGAGATTTTTTCATTACATGCAATTAAAACTAAGTTAGAATCGTTATGCAGTTCATTGTCCTTTTTAAGTTCATTTGAACACACTTCTTCAGCAACCTCAATTGGTAAGTCCTGATGAGGAATCTCTGAGCATGTTAGAAAGTCACAACATGACCACCATTTGGAACAGTTCACAAGAAAGTCAGTTTGAACACCACGCGTCCTAACATCTGCTGGGTTCTCTTTTGTGGAACAATAGAACCACTCTGTCGGCTGTGTTAACTTCCTAATCTCGTTAACTCTGATGGTGATGAAAGATTTCCATTTGGTACTTGTACCTTTAATCCAGCATAGCAACTATTTTGGCATCAGTCCAATAAAATATTCTCGAGGATTTCTTTTTATAGAGCAATTGTTTCACTCTAGAACCTAAACGCGCTGCTAGAAATGCACCAAGTAATTCAAGACGAGGTAACGTAATTCTTTTCCCACGTGCAGCACGACATTTTGATGCAACGAAACTCGCAGAAATTTCCTCTTGCTTACGCAGTTTTACGTAGACAACAGTACCGTACGCCCTCTGACTGGCATCTGAAAAGCAATGGATCTCTATGGAATCGGCTTCGGGTTTCAAAATGAATCTCGGAACTGCAATTTTACTTAGATGATGACACTCACAGCACCATTTTGCCCACTCTTGACAAATATCTGTAGGTAGTTCATCATCCCATGTCAATTTTCGAACCAAAAATTATGTTTCTTGTAGAAAGTTCAAGAATTTAAGTCTAACAGTAAATGGAGTTATTAACCCAAAGGGATCAAAAATCTTCCCTGCAGTTTTCAAGATGAATCGTTTCGTATTACGCTTATTCTTAAGAAATTCCATCAAACTGTCTGTGTCTATACTCAGACTGTCTTCATTAGTATCCCAAAACATTCCCAAGATCTTAAGTGTCTCGTTTGAGTCATTGATTTTATGTGGATGGATCTCGAACTCTTCTTCTTCCCATTTTCTCATCAGCTCAGGATCATTGGATACCCATTTACGCAAGTTCATATTTGCTTCACTCATAATTTGTTTAGCTTTACGCGATAAGCTTAGAGCCTCATCTACACTGTCCTGTCCAGTAATAAAATCGTCAACATAAACACAAGAATTCAATATTTCAAATACATCTGGCTGCTCATCTCGATATTTTCTAATGTTTTCTTTAACTGTTGCAGCCAACAGAAACGGACTTGACTTTATCCCAAAATTTACGCGCTTGAATCTATATGTCGCTAGTTTTAGATCATTTAATTGTGTGTTTTCCACAAACAGGAATCGCACTGCGTCTTGATCCTTTCCTGCCAAAGCAATCTGCAAAAATGCTTTTTCTACATCCACTGAAATTGCAGTTTTATTTAATCGTAAATTTATTAGCAGATGGAACACATTAGGATTCAAATTTGTCCCTGTCCATAGACAATCGTTCAGTGATAACTGCCCGAACTCATGTAAGCTGCCATCAAACACTATTCTAGTCTTCGTTGAAGCACTGGTTTTTCTAAATACCGGTTGATGTGGTAGGTAAAAGACTGGTTTACCGATAGGTACATTTCCATCTAACACTTTCTCAATAATACCTTGCTTTAGATAATCATCTAATATTTCAC